TTTTTTTTTAGAGCAGGCTTAATGATAAAGAATGCCTCAGCTTTTGTCTATCTGGGAGTGTCGTAATTTTTCTCTCATTTTTGAAGGACAGTTTGCCAGATACAGAATTCTTTATTGATAGTTTTATTCTTTTTTTTTTCCAGAGTCTTGCTCTGTTGCCCTGGCTAGAGTGCAGTGGTGTCATCATCATAGCTTACTGTAACCTGAAACTCCTGGCCCCAAGGGATCCTCCCCCATTAGCCTCCCAGAGTGCTGGGATTACAGGCATGAACCATAGCACCTGGCTTGTTCTTTTAGCATTTTAAATGTCATCTCACTGTCTTTTGGCTTCCAGGGTTCTGCTGAGTGAGAAATCAGTTGGTGATCTTAATGAGGATCCCTTGTATGTTACTTCTCTCTTGTTACTTTCAAGATTCTCTCCTTGGCTTTTAACAATTTGACTATGTTTCTCAGTGTGAGTCCTCTGTGAATTTATTCTTGGAGTTAGTTGAGTTTCTAATATTTGTAGTTTCATGTCTTGCTTCAACTTTGGGAAGTTTTTGGATGTTATTTCATCAAATCATCTCTTTGTCGCATTCTCTGTCTTCTGGTACTCCCATGCTGTGTTCTTTGGTTCACTTGATAGTGTCTATGGGTTCCTTAGGTTCTGTTCACTTAATTTTTTTTTCTTTCTGCTCCTAAGACAGGATAATTTCAGTTGTCATATTCTTATATTTCCTGTTCTTTCTTAGGCCTTCTCCAATCTCCTATTGAGCCCCTATAGTGAATTTTTCATTTCAGTTACTGTACTTTTCGGCTCTAGAATTTGTTAGATACCTTTTTATAATTTCTCTCTCTTTATTGATATTCTCACTTTGTTCATGCCTTCTTTTTCTGATTTTCTTTAGTTCTTTGTCCATGTTTTCCTTTACCTCTTTAAATATATTTAATACTGTTGGTTTAAAGTTTTTATCTAGTCTTATGTCTGTGCTTTCTTAGAGACAGTTACTGTCAATTTACTTTGTTCATTTGAATGAGCATACTTTACTGTTTCATTTTATGCCTCGTGATTTTTTTTTGTTATTTTTGAAAACTGGACATTTGAATATCATAATGTAATAACATTAACAATGAGATTTTCCTCTTTTCCCAGGATGTGTCATTTTTGTGTTTTTTGAATGTCATTTGTAGTCCATTTGTCTAGTGTCTTTTCCCAACTATTTTTCCAGAGACTGTATTTCTTGTCATGTGTGGTCACTGAAGTCTTTGTTCCTTAGCTTGTGTTTTTGACAGAAATTTTCTTGAACACCACCAGGAGCTAAAAGAAAGAAAGAAACAAGGAAACTCCTAGTCTTGAAATTGGCTCTTTGTTGGGGCTATCCTTTGATGCTTAGCGAGACGTGAAGTAAGTTTTGAGATCAGCCTATGGTTAAAGCTTAAGGTTTTCCCAAGTCTTTCGTTTTGTAATAATGTGTTTTCATTTTCATTCATCTCAAGGTATTTTCTAATTTCCCCTTCTTAGATCTTTTCTGGTCATATATCTGGTCTTAGGCATATGTGTGTCTTTCTAAATTCCCCTATATACACAGGTGCTTTTGAGTGCACTAATTTCCCAAAAAACT